CCTCTTGGTTCCTAAGGGAAGTAAATGTGTGAATGTGTGCAATCCATGTGTCCTGAATATCTTAAAGGAACGTGGGGAAACGCTGATGACAACCCACAGGAAAGAACTTTTTACTTTTTTTTTTTTTTTTTGGAGACAGGGTCTCTTAGACCCGAGCTTGCCTTTAACTCCCCAAGTAGCTCAGGCTGGCTGTAAACTCCTGCCTCTTTCCTTCCCTCTTTTTGTATTTGTCATAACTAGCGAAATGGGGTACATATGCTCTGAGGTCAGGTGTATTTGTGCCCGATTGCTTTACTCCACGGCCAGTTAATAAAGGCAAATGTGCAAAGCAGACTGTTACATATGGAGATTTATCAGAAACTATCTGGGACTTTCGAGATTAAAGAGGTATCTACCGCAAGCTAGAATAAGACTACTTTGTCTTTAATAAAGGGTCACAGAAGTGTGGTGCTTTTCTCAGAGGATTTAATTATATCCTAATTTTGAAACGTGAGGTTAACAGTTTAAGAACTAGATAGATGTGGAACAGTTGAGAGAAGCTTGGCCTCAGCTTTATGCCGCTCCCTGCAGCAAGAACGTCAGTAGTCTACGGGCCTGGACCCTATGACAACACGGCCAGAATCCTAGGGAATTAGTCACTGAGCCTTGGTCTTCAGTGGTCTCCTTGCCCTTGTAAGGGAGAACTGGGCTTTCTGCAGCCTAATGCAACTGCCATCAAGGATTCTAACCTCGCTTTTCCTTACACTAACAGAAGTAAGAAGATGAGAGACCCCGACCTGCGCGCAGCTGGTACTGAGTGTCTCCAGGCCAGCCACTGCACTCTCCTCCTTCCTGAGGTAAGGGGCGGGGGGGGGGGGGGGGGGGGGAGGCAACCATTCTTTTGGGTTGGTTTGTCTGTCCCTCCATTTCTTCCTCCTTCTTCCGTATTACCTGACCTCCATTTAGGCACCTTCTGTTTGGCAAACTCATTATCAGTTCTGAGGTAAAGGAGAATGGCTTTAAGTTACTGATGTGGATCAGGCCTCTGAGGACTTCGAGTCTCTAAGCCAGGCTCCTCCCTCAAAGTGATTCTTATGTCCCCTGCCCTTTGCTTCTTCATGCCAATAATGCAAAAGACATTTATAATCATATTATTGTCTAGGAATTTTCTAGCTGGTAAGCAGTGGGCTTTACTTTTTCCTGTAAAGTATGCTGTTGTGTGTTATGCTTAGAGTAGTAACCTGTTGAAGTAGGAATAAAACGTGGAGATGCAGGAATTGAAGGTGATGTGGTTGCTGCTGCCCCACACCACAGCTTTACTCCAGGTCTCTGAAGAGCTGTGGCCGTGGTGCTGCTGCACTGCATTGAACTCTAGGCCAATGGGAGGTGTCCGCATGTGCTGCCACCGCAACTTCATGGAGCAAATGCCGGATTAACTGGGTTACGGCCGGGCCGGCCCCAGGAGTCTCTAATGGTACTAGTGTTGGCACATCCACGTCCAGAGCCCAGCAAGTCTGGGGAATAATGAAAATGATTCAGGAGACACAATGTCCCTCAAATGAAAATTACCTGACTTATTTTCTTTTAGCCTAGAAGAATTATAGTCCCTGGCCCTCGGTTACATGGTCATTATTTTTTCTCCTAATGGATATCCTTGCTTATGTATCATGTTAGTTCTTTGATAATTTATTGTCTTTTGGTAAATATTTTAAAGTTTTAACCTTATTCAAGCTACAAAATTATTTTTTTGAGATAGAAGTTTTAAAAAGAAAAATCCCTTTTCATGGATGGAGAGAGAACTGAGGTATTTCCAGGACCAGTGAGCACTGGGAGATTTTGTTTTGACTGACCTCAGCAGATGCTTCCTCATCATGAAGGTCACAGAGGTGCACTCAGAACCCCTCCTCTCTGCAGGGAACTGAGGGCTCCTTCAGCATCGACAGCGAGGAGTATGAAGCCATGCCTGTGGAGGTGACGCTGCTGCCCAGGAAACTGCAGTTCTTCTGTGACCCACGGAAGAGGGAACAGATGCTGCAGAGCGCATCCCAGTGATCCGGCTGCAGCACGGCGCTGGCGGGCTGCCCTTCACGCCACCAGTGGGACCACAAGGGAATGGGTGTGCTTCATCTTTCCCCAGACTGTTGTCACAGGATCCCAAGGGAATTTTCATGGCAAGTAGTCCTGACCTCTCCTCTCCTGACCTGTAGTGCTTCCTAGTGCGCATACCCTTCACCCTCACCCACCTGGTGACCAGCATCCCTCAAGTCCTGCTTTCCTGTGTTGTGGTAGTCGACCCCTCCTCCTTAGTGGTTTGCTCAGGCCGGTTCAAGGAAGTTCTTGTGCTCAGTGAGTTGGAAAGGGTTGGAATTTTGTGATTGCCCCACAGTGGAGAGTGAAATATGGAGACTAAGCTACTGTTCCAGTTTTTTGACCATCCTGGGGGCACCCAAGGGAAGCAGCTGCCTTCTCTGGTGCCTCTCTCATGGGTGCTGTTCCTCCGTGCTCCAATTGGTTGGTCTCAATCTGGAAAGCAGACGTGAGGTTGTTTCCTTTTCAGCCCTGGCTAACATATTATAAAATGCTATTAAAAGACAAATTTGCGCTTCTTCATTGTTAGTTTGCATGTATATGATGGAAGCGCACGTTGAAACTAACTGACCTGGGACCCACCCCCAAGCTGTGTAGCTCAATCTGGCAGGAATCTTCATTTTAAACGGCTGCTTCACAGCTAAATCAACCAGACCTGGAGAATGTATTTTAAAACTACTCCAAAACTCCTGCTTTTCCCAAATGTATTATATATTTTTTTTAAATCACGTATTCATGTTGACATCTATCATTTTTCATGGGAAGCTAAAGACTTGTCAGTGTACTTTCTAGTGCTGTGTAAATACCGTTGTTTACAAATAAAGTGTTGCATCATTCTTTTAAACATATCCAGTGTAATTTAAATGCACCCCTCATTTATTTATATAAATAAACTAGTGAACTCTTTTTATATGAAATTTTTAAATTATTTTTTTCTCTCCCTTGGGTACATCTCTATACCACTGTCTATCAATTGCTTTTTCTCAGCAAAAATAGCTTAAGTGCTAATTCATTACAGAACAACTGTTTTAACAATTATTGTTATATATTATTAGAAATAGTTATTTAAAGCAGTAATGAATTTTTGGTAATTAAAAATTATTAGAATGTTGTTGCTCCTAACTAGTTCATTTATACGATACATAAATATTATTTCTGGTGAGACAAGGATATTCTTTATCAGTTATATTCCTTTTTTATTTATTCATGAGCCCACAAAGTAGATGTAAGAATTATAGCATCATTTTTAATTGCTTTGAAATTAGTAGGAAAAAGCATACTACTGCATGAATATTAATAATGATCTTTTAACTAACAATCTGATTAGATCTTCCTCTAGTCTGTTGCAAGCTGAGAACTAAAAGCTCTTGACTTTCCATAATGGATTCCTGCCAGATCATTAGTACCATCAACTTTTTTTAAAAAACATCTTTTTATTTATTAATTTTTTATGTGCATGTATATCTGTGTGAGGGTGTCGATCTTGAAGTTACAATTGTTAGCTGTCATGTCGGTGCTGGGAATTGAATCTGGGTCCTAATTGCTGAGCCATCTCTCCAGCCCCAGTACCATTTACTTTTAATTCTAGCATGGGCATTTCCTTTGCTCATACCCAGAAGACCTTGAACTTTAGAAGGCCTACACTGTCTGAAGTTGGCTTGAGCCCTTGTCGTCTTGAAAGGGAAAGTGACAGCCATAGCAACAGGAACTTAGGAAGATAAATTTTAAAGACAGTGTTATACCCATCCACATGTCCCATTCCAGTAAAATTAGTGCATGAATGGATCAGACAGCACCTACAAGAAAGCCCTCAATTGAAGAATACAAAAATAAGGTTTGTCTGTTTATTTCTGTATGTTTATGGTGGAGGCAAATGTTCTGCTTTATCAGCAACGAGCAGGTGAGTCTGAAGATGAGCATGAATCACTCACCCCGAGCCAGCTGTGGAGGGTAAGAGCTGCTCTGTTGTAAGGAGATAAAAGAATCTGTGCTTTTGTAACAGCTTGAAGGACTAGTATGGAATCTAGTGTTCGTTCTTAGACCACCGTGTAGCTGCAGAGTCTAACTGTAAGTGCCACGTGATTAGAAAAAGATACTGGACCCACATTAAGAATTTTACTCACATGCCTGGCGGTGGTGGCACACACCTTTAATCCCAGCACTCAGGGCAGAGGTAGGCAGATCTCTTGAGTTCAAGGCCAGCCTGTTCTACAGAGTGAGTTCTAGGACAGCCAGGACTACACAGAGAAACCCTGTCTGGCGGGGGATGGGGGGGGCGGCTACTCCCTAGTTTCCTTTAAGGACTTGGGTTTCATTATCTACTTGTTCTTTGGACATCCATAAAATACCCACATTTAACAAGTATACAGATGCTCAGCTTTGCCAAGGGGATCATGGGGGTCACCTCTGGCCTTTATACAAGCAACTGGCATTATAGGAACATTATTATAAAAACAACTGTAAGAATGTTAGTTCTTATAAGGCACATTCTTAGATATGCCATCCCACTTAGAAAATAGAAACATAGCCTTGCCATCAGTCAGTGCAGCCATTCACTCTATACGGGTTTAAAATCACTCCCCCAAAGGCAAAGCTGAAATAAAAGTTTTAGAGTACAGATAAACATGTGCACATATATCTATATAATGCCACATAAAACTCTGAGAAGATATTTCTGACACAAAATAGCTTCTCTAAAGTCTAGAAGTTTCCTGTGGGGATTAAAGATACACAGTCCTGGTTCTCTGACTTTAGTTTCCATTACCTGGAGATGTTTATCCAACCACAGTCTCTCAAAGGACTGGCTGCCACTCCCCAGTGTGTGTCCTCATCTCTAGGTAAAAGCAGCATCAGCCTTAGGGCTCTGCTCACAGCTGGGGCCATCATCTTTCCTTCCTACCAAGACACCTTGCTAGAGATCACAGCACACAGGCTCATGTTAAAATGTGGACTTTAATTGTAAAAATTTGGGGGTTTTTGTAAATATAGTTATTACCAACCTCTGCACATAACTTGGTTCAGATATATACAGATGATATACACAGGTGTTACTTGTACCACAGAAAGAGTCAATTCAAGAAACATTTGCACTTAGCCTCAGGGTTAAGCCCAGCTCTCTCCAGGTCTGTAAATAACACACAACTGAAGACACAGAGAAAGGATACATTGGTCTGCAGTAGTACCCAGAGCAATACTTACCAATTATCTTTCTGACTTTGTCATAGAGGTAAAGACTTGAAACAAAAATAGATTTGGGTTCTCTTATTGCTATAACTCTTAGGCTGGGGTTATTACTCAAAGTAGGTTTTTACATTTAAGGCAACAGGGACACTTAATGTTTTAAAAAGAAAAAAAAAATTGGAAAACAGATTTCCTTGGTGACAACTATTTCTCCAGGAAAGGATTATATTCCAGACTTATATAAAAATGTAGCCAGCAAGTTCTGGACAAATAGAGAACTTCTTTACCTCCACCCCAAATCCTAGAAGCCACCCATGCTGGCAGTTCAGGAGCCCAGGCAGAATCCCCCATTGCTGATGGCTGATGTTAGTTTTCCTAACTTTTATATCTTTATTTAATTTACCCAGATACAATTTTAATTAAATATATTTGCTGGGTATTTCACTTTGAAGTTCCGTCTTTACACAATTTATAAAACCCTATTCTGCCCCCATAAGCCCCAGTATCATCGGAAGCAAAATAAACTCACCGTGAGACTGAGCTGCAAAAGTAATAAATCCTCTGCTGTAAAGACTTTAAGTCAACATGGTTCTAGAATAAGTTCTAAAAAGATGAAAGCAGAGCTTTCTTTATCCCATCTTCATTTCTCTATATAGCACTAGAAACTTCCTATTCCTTTTCTAAATTTACAGCATCATCACCCAACTTGCAGTCGCTTCAGTGAATTAAAGTGCCAGCTAGAAACCACCCCCATTCCCACCGTCTCCCTTGACCAGGAGGAAGCAGTCACCGAAGGACTGCATTTATCCCTTCTGTCCTGGGGCTTCAGCCAAAGGTGGTGGCCATCTCATCCTTCCCAGGCCAACTAGTGCCACTGAAGAAATTCTCACAGTCTGTGCTCAGCTTCAGTACACTGTCATGGACAATGACACTAAGGGCCTCGGTGGCTGTCCAATTACAAAGCTGCCCGTTCCTTCTTAGATTATGACTTTGCAATTCCTTTCCATTCCAACACTTTAGTACTCAGTAACACTGATATAAAAATAAACTTGTGTTTCTCATAGGGAAAACATTACCTTAATTCACAGTCTTTTTCCTACAACACTCAGTACTCCAGTCGCTTCTGGGAGCAGAGGTATGCTAGCAATAAAGTGGAAGAGTCAAAATCCATGCGCTGGGTATAAAGGAGCCCTCAGCCTCTCCCCTTCCCCTACCTGAATCAGAAAAGGATTTTCATGAGATGAGAAGGGATTAGACTAGGTCTGCCGAGGTAAAGCCCACAGGCCCCCAGGATCCTCACCATGGGGTGGAACTGTGAGCCATGGGTGAGAGATAGGAGGGCTGACAGCTCTTCGAATCATAGCCTACCTGCCTGCAAGTCTGGTGGGGAGATGGCAGCCCTGGAGGGCCTGTTGGGTTCTCGTCAGTTTTCAAACTCTTCTCATGGTGAGGCAAGTTCACTGTGAAACTCGGCATCATCCTGTAATTCTGGTCATCCACGCCCTGTATCCCTTCTTTACCATACAAGGACCACTGCGCGGAACCTGAGGAGAGCACCGCAACCCACTCTCCGCTGTGAGTGTAAGGGGAAGGACAGTTCCTGAGTGCCTTGTCTCGAGAGGCTAGCGTTTGCCACCAGAAGGCCAACTGGGTACCACCCTGTGCAAGTCTCCCTGAAAGTCCCATTTCCCTGTCTCACTGCATCCATATGCTTTCAGTGCCTCGAGACAGAGCAGGTTCACCACCTGCCACCACCAGAAGGAAGACAGCCACAAGCTATGACTTAATTTACTTTTATCTCCTTGCTAACTAACGTCAGGTAAGTATGTAAGCGAACCTCCCCACGAAGCATTTAACACTCTTGTCTCCTGAGTGTCGCTCTCGCCTTCCCATGCTTTTCCTGTGGTTTTCAGCAAGGTGAGTGACAGTCACGAGCTCCTATCCTGTTCTCCCACAGCCAGGGAGGGTGGGAGTGTGGGAGGCCAACGCCTCCTGTCACACTGTACTCCTAACTGGCGGGACCATATGGGCCCCAGGTAGGACACCAACACTGGCCTGGATCTGCGCCCAGTATAGAGAAGGCTCCATGTTTAAAGCCCAAGCTAATACCAAGCAGTGACCGACTCTGGGGAGATAAGCTCTGCTATTTTTTACTCCTTTTGGAGAGAGAGTCCTGAGCCAGGCACCAGCTAGCCAACTATTTCCTACCATCTGCTAATGAAATTGACAACATCCACTTTAAGAGGCCTTTGTTATACTAATATGGATGTCCACAACTCTAAAACCTCAATCCCTCTGAGGATTGTGGCCACTTGGAATTTCTTCTAACTTAAGAATGACTGAGTAGCCAGCAACTCAAGTCAGGAAGTGTTTCCAGGTTGGCACATGGGTTCATAGCATGGTACAGATGGGGTTTAGTGCTCCCCAGAAGGGTTTGAAAGATGTTGAACAAGAAGTCCTGCTCTGGGGTCAGCAGAGCCCAGAACCTATGACCTAAGACATGGCATCATCTGAGGGTTGTATCCCTCTGGGCCACCTATACACTGGTCCTCTGCAAGGGTGGGCGGGGTACAAAGAGACCAGGAAATCAGGGGCTTAGTTAGAAAGGGTCCACAGGGCCCAACTTCACACAGGACAGCCTTTCTCACCCTTGCTATCTTTAGATCAGCTTGCATCAGCACAGGAACAGTGGTGGCAAGCAGAAGGCTCTGGGGAGGTTCTCAGAAAGGGCTCTTCCTATCTCTGGCTGGATATCTACATCCAATTTCGAGGCTCTCAGAGATTACTGGAAGTGTTGTTTCATCAGCATCTGATGGTGCCTGTTCAGTTGGCCCTGGGGCACGAGGAGAAGTCAGCCACAGGAAGGAGCAGGTGAAAATTGAGCCACTGCGCACAGCTGTTTTTTGTAAACGTTACTGGGATGTCGGCTAAACCCACGTTGCAGAGAGAAACCTATTAGCTGAACAGTTTATGTCAATGCCTAAACTTATTTATATATTTACAGAAAAGATGTTACCCTGACTCATCAGTGTGTATTTGCATTTCCACACACCCAAATCTCTTCCTTCTTGGATTTTTAATCAGGGAACTACAGCAAAAATACTTGAGTTAAGCGAGAACCTAGACTTGAGATAAGAGGCCCAGCCCCGCGGTCTGAAGTTCTGTCTGCTGTGGACATCAGCCTGACTGCTCTTTGGCTACAGACATGGTTGCTGGATGGCTAGCTAGCTGTTCACTGTAACAGGGCAGGCAGTAGGAGCACAGGAGAAGAAATCATTACTGAAAATGCAAACTCAGTCAAAATCTTAAGGAGACTAGCATTGGAACTGGCTTTCTGAGTACGGTTAACACCTGCCTCTCATCTAGTGTGTCTCATCTAGGAACCTGGCAGTCGCGAGTGACCCAGCCCCAAAGAACAAGTTGACTGCAAGTTCTATCCCAGGCCAAAGAAAACGGGCATGGTTGTTCATCTGCGATTTCCAGCTATTCTTCTGGCAGGGGAGGCACTTTTTAATTTTCCCTGTCAAATCTGTTGGATCTGTGGACCCAGCTGCTTAGGCTAAGGAATGTTTTCTCTGCTAAAGACAAGTTTGTGGAAGTTTTAAACCAGTTAAGAGACTTGTTCCCACCACATCCCAAACTGAGTCAACCAGCTCAGAGCCTGGCTACATTTCTGAATTCACTAGAAATATCTGCTTCAGGACAGCAAACAATCCCTCCAGAGAGCTCTCGGAGAACCTTGAGATGTCTTCCCTTACCTGTTGAACCTGTTACACCAAGAAGATAGTCAGCCCTCAAAAGAGACTCAAACGTCAAATGAACTTGCTTATATAAGCTCCGGGGCCAGCTCCAACCTTCAGAATTCACCAAGCCATCCGGAGGGGATTCAGATGCAGGAGGGGCTAGGGGTATGTTATGCTGTGTAGCTACCATGACCTTACTTTAGAAAGGGTTTCAAAGATTCATCCTAGTTTTCCACCTTTCCCTGACATTCTGTCAGAAACACTGCTTTCCTTCTCTGTGGTCCCCACTCCGATCAACCCAGAAGACGCAGACTTGTCCTGTGACAAGTAGGTCATCCCAACCCGACCCCTAGAACTTGGTGACCCTAAAAGGTCATCTGATCAGTTTCTGGTTTTAGGCAGATGCACATCTAAGGCCACATTAGGACTCATGGGTATCATATTCTCCCTCTGACTGACGGAACTCCTAAGACTAAACCCAAAGCAGCAGCAGCAGCGGAAGACAGTAGATTCCAATGTCCAACCAAAGGCTACAAAACCTGATGGCCTCACCTCAGCCCCAGGGCAGAGGGGAGAAAGGAAATGGCACACATTACATGGGTTGGAGAGTCTAAACAGTCCTTTGTGTTAACTTAAACTGAAGCTGCCGAGGGCCTGGGGTGCACGCCAGGCTCCTGTCACCCCACATGAGCGGCCTACCACCAAGTCCTGGTCCTCCTCCTATGGACAACAGGGGTTATCAATGACCAGCATGACATCGATGCCATAGGCCTCCAGCAGGTCCATCAGAAAGCTCCTGTCTCCCTGGGGGTCCAGTCCCATGCCTCGGGCATGCTCTGCTGTTAGAGTTTTGTCTTGACTGGCAGACACCTCCAACAGAGTCTGAAAAATCCGGTTGTTTTGCTCTAGGAAAAACCTGCATTTCCAAGACAGGAAAGGGAGAGAAGACGCAGCAAAAGGTCAACCATATAACCCAAACATACAGAGCCCGAACTGTGCAAAACTTCCAAATTAAATCTAACAATTTTTAGAGGAAGTAAATGTAAAATGGTTATTAGAATGTGAATGATGTCAGCAAGGAAATCATAGGGCAAGAATCACCATATGATAGAGTAATCTGAGTAATCTGTAGGGATGGTGGCTTGACTACGACTTTCCTGTTTTAAGCATGGCCTTCCGGAGAGGCTCCATAAACAGCTTCTCTCCCTGTGTGTAACCCTCAGGGAAGAGTGAAAACACAGAACCTGGGAATGCAGTTCTGAGGCCAAGACTTCAAGCGAGAGACTGAAATGCACATTGGTCAAAGCCCTGCCCGGACCGCTCCAGTTGGTAGCCAACAAGCCTCACTAGAGAGCACAGGGCTCTGCGCTGGCCTTGCAGCCCTAGGTCGCTGATGCTGCCCACAGACAGGGAGAGCTCAGAGGGGCTCGAGCAGGCACAGGGCAGTTCTGAAGCCAGCAGTGGAAAGGGGAGGCACACTGCACTCACTGAGGATGGCAAGGCTCATAGCGCTCAGGGTGTGTGCCCTCTTTGGGAAGGTGTCTGTGGAAGCATTATACAGTAAGGAAAGGATTTCAGGGTCACAGCTGTATACATGCTGGGTGAGTAAACGAGCCGTGTTTAGAAAGGCGTTCATTCAGCCATGCTGCTTTGGAGTCAGGGGCTTTCCACAGACGTAAGAAAATGGCTTGTCACACCCTGACAAGACACTCTGCCCAGACAGTGCGTGTGCTATAGGAAGTAGACTCGGAAACAAGACAGAGCTCCGTGGAGATGCCCTCATCAAAGCTAAGGACCCTCCAGAGCATTTATTTCTACTTCAACCACATTCTGCTCTGATTCTAAAACAGGACTTCCTGGGGCTCTTTGAAAGCCAGCCCTTCCCATGTCTACCAGATCTGGAGAGGAAAGGTTACCCTCGATTCAAGGGTAGAATTTCCAGCTGATCTCGTAACACTCAATACAAGGAACTGGTCTTTCCAGAAGGTCAACAAATGAGAGGGTAGAGAGATGACAGCTATGTGGTGACCTCCTGGATGCAAATGTCAATCAGATGCATGCTCAGGGTCCCTGTTCTCTAGGACCTGTCCCTATCTCTTCGGCAACTCTGGGTTCACCCTGATAGGTGTGCAGGACTCGGGCTACCACTAAGGACCCAGCCCTGAGAGCCCTGAGAATAAAGGACATCCGAAACTGTAGTGGGTTGCATGGGCTCAAACCAAGTTGTCTGTCCATAGAAGTTAGTACTGAAAGGATTCCCAGAGACCCACAGCTCCTGCCCAGGCCAACTCACAGCACAAAGAGGTCTTCTTCACAAGGGTTGTAGTCTCCTTCAACTTCCTGGGAGTACAGCAGCATCTGCCTGCCAGAGGGGAGAACACTATCAGGCTCTAGTGGCTGCTGCACCCAATTACGTGATTGGCAGCAATCCAACATCAACAATGTCCCTACCTCCCAAGAAACAGCACCAGGAAGAGTTAGCGCCAGGCCAGAGACTAGGAAGAGAATGAGCTAAGCCTGGACGCAAACCCAGGATCTGTGGCCCGTTTTGCCACTGGAACCCCCTTAGTCAGGTGACTGTCTTGCCTAATTGTCCACTGGATGGGGATAATATATGCTAACCCTTTCTCTCCTAGGATAAACAGAATTGAGAGTTACGTGGGACGGTGTGCATAGACAAGTTTCCTAATGGAACCATACCATGCAGATGAACGGCTATTCCAAACATACATGGGCAAATCTAAACAAGGTCTTCCGGGGTGTTTCTAAAAGCTGGTGTTGTAACAGATCCTTCATGGGATCTCAGAGTCTCAAGCCCACCAGAAACCACACATGAGTGTCTGCTACCCTGCAGCGAGGGTAGCATGTCAGCTTCCTAAAGCACCCCTTGATTTCTACCCCCTGCTCCCCATCCCCCGCTTTTAGGAATGCTCAAGGAAAGGGGTGGCGGAGTAGGCTTTGCGCAGATTTCACAGAGCCATTCTGAACAGGATGGTGCTCCTGACTGCCCTGCAAACCTCTGGTCCTTTTAGCACAGCGCTGGCCTGGGCTGCACTGAGTAGCACACACGGCATGGATGTGGCGGACAGCTGTCTCACCTCTGCTCATTGAGCCGACGGTACTTCTCCCTGTCTGCGCTGTTGATCTTCAGCAGGGGCTGCAGGTGGTCGTGGTGTGTCTTCACATTCTGGTTATCCACGTAGACATCATACAGCTCCCTCTTCTCCTCAAATATCTTCTCTGTGGTGCCTGTGGAGCCCAGGATGATGAGGTAACCCCAAGAGGGCACGGAGAAAGCTGCCCCAATCTGACTACAGAGCCAAGAGTCCAAGAGCCTATTTCTGAGAAGAAAGGGTTTGGACACAGGGAGGGGAGGAGAGGGCCCCATACTCACAGGCTACATAGGACACCTCTACTTCCAGGCTCTCAATGTCAGCCACATTCACGTAGAAGAAAGGCTTCGACTCAGGGATGGTGCCTCCAATGCCAGGCAGGGAGACATTGGCCAGACAACAGCAGCAGTACACTGGAAGGGTGAGGACAACAGAAGTGAGGAATCTTCCCTTCTGCTCCATCTCCTCCACTCAAGACCGAGCGCAGGTCAATACCTCCAAACAGCTGACCTACATGGGAACTGCTACATTCTGTGGTTTGTTCTTGTCAAACCCCACACTGAGGCTTGGCCCCCAGTGTAGTATTACTGAGAGATGCGGCATCTTTAAGATGGAATTACGTCAAAGAGGTGCCACGCTCATGCAAGTTTTGGTGTCATCTGAAGACAGTCAGTTATCTCTAAAGCATGTTACGGAGTCACTCTGCTCCTTCCCCCACACTACTCTTTCCTGCACCATCTCTTCCACCAGGGGATCTTCAAAAGATGACTAGATGCCAGCATCGCTCTCTTGGACTTTCAGAACTAAAAGCCCAAACAAACCTCTTAGGAATCCACAGCCTCTTGTGTTTTGCTAGGGCAGTGGGAAGTCGTCTCCGGAGCTGGGGAGGCCTGGTTTGTGCTACCTGTCCCGTAACCAGGTGGCCTTGGGAAATCTTTGAGGGCCTCACTGCAGAACTGGAGATCCTGAAGGTCTCATCAGCAATGTATCGTCAAACAGGTGTTTTCTGAATTTCTCTCACTGACCTGACTTAGACTTTGGTTCTGCTGACCTTCCCCCTCCTCAATACCCTCTGGAACCTCCCATCCTCTGGTCCTCCTCTCTCCATCATCTCCTTCATTCACCTGTCCTTGCACTACTACTCGTCAGCCTCTCACACCTGACACCTCCATTCCTCACACTCTGACCAGGTGATGCTGTCCATCCCGAAGATACAGGCTTTGTGTCCCTCTCAAACCTTCTTCTCAAGGCCAACTATTTTCCACAGGTCATGACCCAATCACACAAGTGCTAGTATACATCTCCCCGGAAATGTCTCAAGAAGTACACACCCAAATTTACTCCCCACCCCCATGCGTCGATTCCCCATTTTGGTGGCCCCATCATCTTTGTGGTCCTAGACTCTTTCTCAACTACATCCCTGCATACTTCAGTCAACCCTGTCCAGTTTACCTCATCTCTCTGCTTCAGCCCAGACCCTCATCTCTCCCCCAGACATGAAGGTGAAACCTCATCTGTCCTCGCTGCCTCTAGACTCCACATTCTAAAATACAAATCTAACCAGAAGCCTTGACCCCACTGATAGGGCCCAAACTCTTCCTAACTTGCTCAGTAACTGAAGGACTAGGGCGTATGTACTGGGAGTTTAGGAAGAGCCCTCACTTGGGCTTCTCATTACCTCTGTAGCACACGACGCCCACGGGTGGGGGAGAAAATATCAGAATGCGCTTTCGGAGTAAGGCAAACTTCCAAAGAATGAGGATCTGTTCTCCAAAGAACTTAATAAACTGAGACATGCAGCCAGCCGGGTGTGTGATCTGGAAACACACAAGGGGGGGGGGCAGTTTGTTAGAGGTGGTCACTGTGAAAGAGCCTTCCGAGAAATCCCCAAAGCGTTCAGAGACAGTTGCTTCCACACGAAATGCTACCTGGTGCTTGATTTCTCTGATGTGTCAGCTCTCCCAACAGAATGAAGTCTGAATTTAAGAACTCTAAACACTTTACTCTGGAGAGAATTGCAGAGGAAACAGCTGGATTTTATTATTTGAAACTCAGCAATTTGGAAGAGGGGGAGACAGCTCAATGGCTCAGCATGCTTAACGTACAGTCATGGAGACAGGAGTTCAGATCACAGTATCACATAACAGACATCCCACAAGCACCCGCAACTCCAGATCCAAGGGATCTGAGCTCTCCTCTGGCCTGGGCATGCATGTGCCTGTATGTGCACATGGGTTTTGAATGCAAGCATTTTTTAAAGTATGTTCTTTTAGAAACTCCCCTTGAAGATATGCATGCCTCAATGAGAACACTCAGCACAAAACACTGAGCAAATACAATGACAATACAATACAATACAATACAATACAATACAATACAATACAATACAATACAATACAATACAATGACGAGCAAACAGGCTGCAACAGCAGGGACCTGGGACTCTCCTGTGCACAGCCCAGTATCTGCAGCAGTTACAGGCAGGGAGGGTCCAACAGTCTCATGGCTACCTCTGGCATACTTCATCTCCAACCAGCTTCCTTGGAACGCTAACTGCAGGGGGCCACCCTAGCACGGAGCTACCTTCTGGAAGGACCGCTAGGGGCTCAGAGTGCCAGCTTGAGAACTGCGCTCCTGCCTTTGCTGTTTACTAACAGGGAAGCCTGGGAGACGGAGCCAATGTTTCCAGTCTGCTATCCTAGCCCGTAAAACAGGGAGACCAGACCATCGGTTACCTCAGCTGGCTTAAGGACCACTGGAGACATAACGTGAGTGACTTATAGCTAGGAACACCAAGGCACGGAGAACACCGGTGTCACTAGCAGAACAGAGGCGTCAAACCAGCGACCTGTGATAGCTCAGAAGGCCACTCTGATGCTTCCTTGTAGGCAGAGCGGTCTCATCTGCCATAAGAAAGGCAGGCTAGTACAGTTCTGAAGACAGGCAGCTTCCCCACAGTACACACGGAGCTGAAAGTCTGACAGCTGCTGAAATGGCGGGAGGGAGGGGCAAGCCCTAAGCCAGCCTTGGTGCAGCCCCTGTACTATGCCTCCACTGGCTGTCCTCAAGCTACAGGGCTTCGATGGTGCTACCTGGGAGGGAAATTTTCCTTTCCAAAGCAACCTACAACCTCTACCCTGATATCATTCACCAGCTCCTTGTTGCAAGCAAGGCTACCGTCCACTGTGCAAGCCTGCTGTGACTCTTAGCCTCCTTCCTGTGCACTTTATTCAATCACCAGGGAGAGGGGCCCTTGTGGGCCAAGGCTGGTCAGATCTCTCCAGTCACTGCCTTCTATCGAGTCAAACGGCAGCCACACAAAAAGGGAGCTTGAACACAATCCTTTCTTCCCCTGCCTTCCTTCTGCCATCTTTAGGCCCTTGACATGAATGTGCTTGCGCTGCATAGAGACCTGCTGGGGACTGTGCAAGTATGTCCTAGGATAAATGATTCTAAATTCTCATCTCATTTATTCGTTCATTCATAAATACATATATCCACTAACTCAAGAACTATCTTCTAAGTGATTACTTTGTGCCAGATCACTAAGCTGTCTATTTTCGACAATGAATAAAGTCGCCCAGACCCTAAATTTGGCAGTCACCTGATGCACAGAGCAAGTAAAAAAAGGCAGCCATAATATAGCCTGAGGTGACAGGACAAGGACAGCGACTGTTGGGGGCAGATGGGTAGGCGCTTGATTGCGTTCTGAGAGACGGAGAAGGCGTCCTGAAGTAAGTGGAGTCTAAGCATCAACATAGTGAACGAAACTGCAGGACACTCTTCTGGCAGAAGGATGAGTGTATAGAAAGGTGTGGGGCCGAGGGAATGTTAGTGCTTCGGGCCCCACACGCAGACCACCCCAGGTGTCCTCCCTCTCCTGAGGTCAGTCGCAGATCCCGTCCCTTCTTCGCTGCGCCCTGCTCAGGTGCACAATGACACAGGTGCTTCTCTTACTTGGATTTAAATGTCTATAATTTCTCAACTTGTCTCTCAGGGGCTTTTGCAGAAAATAAAAAGTTTCCTTTTGAACATGTCCATGATCTTCCATGAAAAGAAAATGTAGTTATAATTTATATGGTCAGTATCCATAGAGAGCTGCTTCCCAGGATCCACTCCCAGGTAGCAAATCCTGTGGATCGTGATCTCTTAAATGAAATAATACTAGTATGTAGCATACACACTTCTTCCCATAGACTTTAAATTATCTCTACATTATTGACATACCTAATGCCCTACAAATGTTGTATGTGGTGGTTTGAGAGAAAATGGCCCTCAAAGGGGGTGACACTATTAGGAGGTGTGGCTTTGTTGAAGTAGGTATGGCCTTGTTGGAGGAAGTGTGTCACTGTGGAGGTGGGCTTTGAGGTCTCATATATGCTCAAGATACCGCCCCCCCCCAGTGTTGCAGACTTACTTCCTGCTGCATACAAGATGTAGAACTCTCAGCTACTTCTCCAGCATCAAGTCTGTCTGCATGCCGCCCATGTCCTGCCATGATGATGACAGACTGAACCTCTTGACACTGTGAGTAACCTCAACTAAATGTTTTCCTTTATAAGAGTTGCCGTGGTCGTGGTGTCTCTTCACAGCAACAGAAACCCAAACTAAGACACCATGTAATCATTGTGCAGCACTGTCTGCAGAATCATGAGGGAAAAAAGCCTGTGTATGTTCAGTACAGATGTGTTGCTTGGCTCTGGAGACAGAACCACAGGCACAGGGTTAGGTTGTACCACTTCCAGTCCCATCCTTTTGCCCAAGCCCTTTCTACATTATAAACAGAAGCACTGCCCTCCCTGAGTCTCTGCACTTCGCCTTGCTCTCCGACCACATAGGCATCACGATGTATATATTCATGCATACATATGTATGTGTTCGTTCATGTTTTTCTGTCTTCACGGAAAATACACAGAATATGTATATGATGGTTTTGCCTGAGACTGAGTTTTCAACAAAGTGTCATCATAGTCGTACAGTGTTCTGCCCTTGCTACCCCCACATAAAATAGACCTGGCAGACCTTTCCTGCCATCAGCTGCCTTCTGATTCATTCTTCATAATGGCTGTTTACTACATGGACATTCTAGCTGCCTACGACTTGAACAGTGGTGAATTACACATTCATATGTATGTGTGTATATACATACATATATACACACACTTATAAAATTCTGGTGTTTTCATATCTAAAGGGCACACTCCAGCAGTCACATAGTGGCCCAGGGTTGGGGCTGCAACCTGAGACCTTGGTGGTGTCTGGTAGCCATGTGACTGCCAGAACTATTCCCACCTGAGTGGGACCCTAGAGCCAGGATGTTGTCCGGACCCAGGCTGCTGCCATGGACCATGTCTGGGTCTGTGGTCCAGCAGCAGCTGGAATCTATGTTGATGTCTGTGGCCAGTGTCACATTAGGAGGCCTTAGGAATCATGCAAGATGAAATCAGAGGGCTATGCTGAGCCAGCCTCGCCCTTCACTGCCCTGGGAAAGCTGCCCTTGCCTCTTGCGGGTCACTACAGTAAAAGAGCTGGCCCCTGGACTCGGGAGGATCCCCACCCCTCACTATAAGCGAGGATGAACCTACCCTGAGGACATGCATGTAGGGGAGCTGACTCCAACCCCACGCCCGAGGTGGGTGCCCCCGTGGCTCAATCTGACCTGCCTGGCTAACACCCAGACCTGCAATTAGACCTCAGGTTGCAATTAGACCTGCAACCTGAGACCTTGGTGGTGTCTGGTAGCCATGTGACACCCTAGCATCTACCCTACCTGGGACCTCCTGGTCCTGTGGAACAATACCTACAAGATCACCAAGACTCGGGATGGCCACAGGATTCACCAGAGGAGCTCTGGTGAGGAACCAAGGAGGATGGTGCTCCAAAAACAAGGGGCCTTGAACCAGACCAGTGACTTACTGCAGCGAACATCTGCCGGTCAAGCTGATGGGACAAAGGGGTACACTATATGACACAGTGACTCCCCCAGTGCCATCAGGACAGGTGAAGAGGTGACAGAGAGGCAGGAGAGGAAAAGCAGAGGTTTTTCTGTTCCTCATGTGCTTTTTGTTCTGTTTTGGTTTACTGGGGGTTTTCTGATCTTGTTTTTGTTTGCTTGTTTACTTTGTTTTGTTTTCTTTTGTATGGGAGGGTGCAGCAGAGATGAGGAGGGAATATGGGGGGGACAGGAGGTGAGCAGAATTAAGGTAAATGATGTGAAATCCCCAAAGATTCAATAAAAAAGTTAAAAGAAAAAAGAAAAAGAAACCTGATTCTGTCAACTCCCATATGAACTTAGAAAAATGGGTATTTGCCCAGTTGGGCCTTGTGCTGAGAGATCAACCCTGGCTGAAACCTTAACTGAAGTCTCTCATAGCAGATTCTAAATTGAGGATTCAGCTAAGCCAGGACTGGAGTCCTTATTCACAGAAACTGTGGGATCATATACATGCACTACTTCAAGCTTTTAATCTTGGGTGGTTTGTTAGGCAGAAATAGCTGGCCAATACAGGGTAGCAACTGTGGTGAGTTTACAAATATAGGGGAGGGGCCACTGTGTCCTCTGCTTGCTCCTTCAGTCTTCTGACTCCTCTACTACTGAGTTCCTGTCTTGAATTAGTTTTAAATACCTAGCATACTCTTCTTGGTTTGCTGATAAAAACCTTACTTATTTCATTTTTTTCCTTATGTCCAAATGACATAAAAAGTCAATCTCATTTAAGTAATTTGCTCTTGGCCCATGAGCCATGTCTTTGTTTTCTGGTCCAAATCTCTGGAAAAGCAGTGAAGGAGGTAGGGAGTGAACACGGGCTTTGACAGTCCTGTGTTTCAATTTTGTCAGTCTCCTAGCTATAAAGGCCTAAAGCAAGTCAGTGAACCATTCAATTGCTTTACATAGACAACGAGGATAAAAAAAAAAAAAAACACAACAAACAACAAAAAAAGAACACTTTTCTTTAAACCTTGCTTTAAAAGAATGTTGCAACAGGCATTGATAAATTAATTTCTTTGAAAGAGGAGTCCTGAGTTTTACTGAAATATCTTGTGCCCAGCCACAGGAGAAGGAGAAGGAAGAGACAACAGAAATTCATATTCTTATACGCTTTTGTATCTTCTCAACACCTGCTGCACTGTCGGCTTTCTTGTTAACATTAAACAAGCATGCTAGTACAAGTGCAAAGGATGCGACAGAATTTCCAAATAAAATAATGTCAAAATAACACAGCTAAGAAATACATTGTCTGCTCATCAAACTCTTCATCTTTAGTTCAAATGTTTGGCTAGATTAATAGCAGAAGCAACCGACACAATCAAAATCATCCTGCATCCCAGGAGATCGCCCCTTGTGACCCAGCGTATGTGGATTTGTGCTATGCTTATAAAAGGCTCCAGATGCCATATTGCTTAAGGCAATTTGCCTTCTGTTTTCAATGAACCCAAACGCTTACATTTAACCCAGTTCTACCAAAAGCACTACTCTGCACGAGGCTGAGACATAACTTCCTTATCATCTAAAAACTAATCTACCATGACTATCCCCAGATATGAGAGAATGACCAGCCTCACCTTCATCTCGGGGTACATGTAGCGGTGGATGGAAGGCAGCCAGTAGACGGGTGGCAGGCTGCCACCCCTTCCGGGGCCGGCATGGAGCACCCCTTTCTTGTCTTCATAGAATGCGGCCAGATGAGAGTAGTGTCCCGGCGTCTCCAGCTGGTGTCTGTGGAGCACACACACGCACAGTGAGCGGCTCTGCCCAGCACAACTGCCAATCTCCACCCAGAGAGCTAAAGGCCCAGGCATACTCCGGAGGTTCACACCTGGACGCTCCCTTCAAGTCATCTTTGTGCAAAATGCACACATGGGGCCTGAAACTCCCCAATGGCACCATGTAAAATGTTCAGAACGAACAGGCAGGGCCAAGTGTTGATTTTTTTTTGTGCAAGCTATGCTGCTGGTCACCTGTGCTTCTCTAAGCGCTGTTTATTGTGGGAAGAACGAACCTGGAAGGCCACATACGTCCTGCCTACAGCTGCTTTGCTTTGTGTAGAATGTGAGCGTGCTTATGCTTCGTGCTGGTAGAAAGGAACAGGAAGAAGCTGAGTCCGTAGTGTCTCAGAGAAAGGAAAAGCTATGACTGAAGGCCACTGGGGGCTCACACTTTCACATCAATAATGTAAATGAATCAGAAACACACACACACATGAACCCTGCACTCCCCTCTGACACACCCTGTGCTCAGGCCAAAAGTCTTGTTAACTGACCCTTAGATCAAGAAAATATCATTGAGGTCCTAGATCATTTGGACAACACAGAATCCTGCCTCCAAACCAAGGCATTATGATTAATGGAAATATTAGAAGCTGATTCTAGTTCCCTCCCCAGAGATATGCTGGAATCTCGGCCTTTACCTCAGTACCTTTATCTCAATACCTATATTGGCTTTATTGGGATGATTTGCACAGAGGTAATTAGGTTAAACCAAGGTATTTTTCAAGGAAACCCCAATTCAGTGTGACTTAAAAGGGGGAAATTCATATACACTCACAGGCCTGGGGTAGCTATATGAAGATGAAGGTAGACATTAGGGATGCAGATGCCAAGTTACCCAGAGACCGCCAGCAAAGCACAGAGCTGGGGGAGACGCGGAACCAACAGCGGTAACACTGATGACTCCAGAGCTATGCGACAGGAAGTCTCTTTCTTATAAGGCACCCCGTTACAGATGCTGTTAGACTGTCCCAGCAAATTAACACAAGGATGAATAAAAAGTCCTCTCAACCCTGGTTTATTTTCCAGCGACCACTGAACAATTAAAAAGAAGCTTCGGGAAGAAAAAGGAGCATCACCGATGACAGCCTGAACGACACTGATTATAAACAGGCAGTCCCTGCTCCTCCTGTCCACCAACCTGCCATAACCTATGCCGTGCCTTGTAACTCAAGCTGCTCGGAGGAAGATGTCCAATGAAAAAGTAGTAGCAGATGCTTTTGTCGCCCCCCAGAGTGACTTCCAGCACTCATGGCAAGATAATGGCAGAGACCTTGTGCAGAAATTTGTATTGAGAGCAGTAACATCCGTCATCATTGTGCTTAAAAAAGATGTTGCTGCTGGGCATGGTGGCGCACGCCTCTGATTCCAGCACTCAGGAGGCAAAGGCAGGAGAGGATCTCTGTGAATTCCAGGCCAGCCTGGTCTACAGAGGGAATTCCCAGACAGCCAAAGCTATTACACAAAGAAACCCTGTCTCAAACAAACAAACAAAAAGTATATGTGTGTCTGTGTGTTATTAGCTGTGACAGTGTATACCTATAATCCAAGAACAGGCTGAGCAGGAGAATCATAACTTCAAGGTCAGCCTAAATTAAACAATGGGCCCTTGCCTCCTCCAAAAGAAAAGTTTAGAAAATAATTACTAAAAATAAGCACCTCGCTCTAATTTTAGGGGTCCGAAAAGCTTTGCTTCGGGAGGCGGCCATGTTCTAGCAGCAATGAACCAGCATGAGGGCGCTCACAGCCAACTGCTGTAACTCACAGACACGTTCCTGGGCTGGACGGGAAATCCTTGGTGGCTAAGGTCTGGCTAGCTGTTCTGAGAAGGCAGCGGGGTGCCAGTTGGAATGTGTTCAAATGTGTGAAGTTCAAATGTGTTTGAGTTAAGATCCGTTTTCCCTTAACAGCCCACGAAAAATCTATGTACTCAGTCTTCAAAGAGGTAACTTATCCACAGTAATTTAAATAAGGCACCTTCATTTTGTTTGCTGATTTGCTACTCAGTTGCTGGTCTTTACTCTTTGACCACAGTCAACACTGTAGCTGGACCAAGAGCCTCCAGAAAAAGTCAGCACTGTGAGGCTTCTAGACAGGAAGCTAAAGGCAAGGCCATCGAGATGGCTCAGAAGGTAAAGTCCTTTTCATCAAGCCTGATCTCACTCCCCCATACAAAAATAAACATTAGATGTAAAACGAAAACAGCCTAAGGTATCACTGCCTGAACATGGCAGTAACAGACAATGTAGAAGAGAACACAGGGGCCCAGGCATAAACGGAAATCCAGAGAGGAATGCTATCCAACCGTTGTGTGGAAGCCTCAGAGTTTAAACATCACCGTAGGTTTTGTAATAGATCAACAAACCACAACACCAAAGGTACTAGAGCCACAGAGTGCCAGAAGACAAGGTAGCTTTTCAAAGCTGGAGACGATGATGTTCAATAAGGGCAGGTAAATTTAAAAACTACCACACCGAAGCACATACCATACCACCCACGGAAACTGTGTGACAGTCCTGTCAACGGCGGGGCCAAATGACGGAGCGCCGACTGTGTGAATCGGATCAAGGATTCCCCTGCAGGAGCAGCCAGGCTGGGTTCTCTTTAGGCCCACAGCCCACTGCACTGACGGGGCACACGCTGTGCAGATGCTCAGGACAGAGACCCTTGCTGTCCCCTACCGTGCTCTGCACTGATTCAGCCACTGAGTCTCAGAGATGCTCTGCCAGCGACCTCACTTTGTCGTCTGACCCAGTCTGTCACTGGGCTCTATAGATACAGAACCATCAGGCATTCCCATTCACTGCTGGTTCAGGGGGAAAGTACCACCACCGTTCCGAAGGGGTGTCAACCTGCACACTGTGTCCATCCTCTGACCCAACGACTCCGTTTCTAGGAAATTCGTGTGCAAAAAATAAACCATCTTAAAGCTCAATACAATGGAATGGTTAAATAAATCAGGAGTTACCTGTTCTGCCACGCTGTGAAGCTACCCAGATCGTGTGTTCAATAGTATGAATAGAGGTCAGAGATCAACCTTAGGTTGGTTTCTGAGGACTCTTTTTTTTTTTTTTTTTTTCAGCCAGGGTCTCTCACTAGCCCAGAATTTGCCTGGTAGACTAGGATGGCTGGCCAGTGAGCCCTAGGGATCCACCTCTCCACCTCCCCAGTGCTGGAATTACAAACATGCCCCACCACATCTGGACTTTTTCTCTTACATGGGTTGTGGTGATTGAATTCAGATAGGTAATAACTATAGCTAAAATATTAGTAAGTAAGCCTGGGACATCGGAAGTCAGAGTCAATTTAAATGAAGATTAGGCAGTGTAGAAACGAAGTCTAGTTAACCTATACAGAAGTTACTGTCCCATCTAGACCTGACTCCTCTTTCCTTGTGCCCTGTTATCAAAGTCTCATCTCTGTTCTAGTCTTCCTGAATCAGCAAGGGAAAACGATGGGGAAGCCTCCAGTGTGCCCACATGAGAGCTCCTCTACTGCTGAATGAGAAGGGAAAATACAAACATGGCACATGCTTTCTCTTGTGTGATCTAGATCTGTAATCATGCGAACGGATCAATTTTAAAAGACATGCGGAACTAACAGTGGCAATAGGGCTGTTGGGTGGATATGGCAACTGAGGAAAGTCTACAGTTTATGACACCGGCAGAGACTTCTTCCTTTAGCATACAGAGCCTCCACATTTTAGATGACTTCACCCTTTCGGGAACGACATGTCCTCAGACTTCCTACAGCTGGGTTTGGCCAGCAGCCAACAACTAGCCTACGGAATGTGCACAGAAGTGATGTGTTCAAGTTGAGATTTTTGCATCAGTCTCTCTGCTTCCTGGTTGAAATGTCACAGGATAGCAATGAGTCACTTTTCACCATCGCGCTAGAAGACAGGTGAGACAGAAGGACCGCGTTCCAGGCGCCATCCACGCTGAGACCCTTCTCTCCATCTGGTCTGGGACAGCTGTGCTAGAAAGGTGGGCTTCTGTAAACAGCTATATGTTGGGGTCTCTTCTTTGTTACAGTAACTTAGCTTCTATTTTAGCTAAAGCAGAAGTTGGTACCCAGAAAATGAGTTGCTATAGAATCAAAAACCATTGGCTTAAGAGCTGAAGAAGAGAGTGATTTTTTTTTTAATTGCTGTTCAGGAAAGCTGATCATTTCTGATCTACCGATTTAGATCTCGTGAGGCTGAGAAAACCAACTTCTTTGTACTGAAAAGCACTCCAGAGACTTGCTCGCTCCAAAGTACTCGGGCAGATGTGGGGAGGGGCGGAGGAAGAGTCAGACTCTAAGGATAAAATGTGAGATAACAGGGAGTTACCATGAAAATGAAAGAAAGGATGGACGGACTAGCTTAGATCCCATCGACTGAAACCAAGACCCAGGGGAGCTGTAGAGGTGGCTCAGTGGTTAAGAGCAACAGCTGCGCAATCATGAGGACTGCAGTTTATAAGCCATTAACCATAGAAAAAGCCTGGATTCTATACAACTGCAAATTAAACGGCCAGTCTGGGCTACGAAGCAGGATTCTAACTCAAAATGAGTAAATGAATGAATGAGTAAATAATGCATAAAATGAAATAGTTTATAGTATCTATGCTAAGTACACACAAACACACACACACTATACATACATACACTAATATATGTTGTATGTGTGACAAATAAGGTCTTGTTATATTGCTAGTAATGTAAACTTTATTTCCTGTACCACTCTGCCCACTTGTCAAGCATATTTTATCAAAGCACAAATATACATATAAGAAAAGAGATTAAAATTTTAATGATGCTTCCAAGAGTAGACTAGAGATAACATTCTCCAGCATTGTTTGATGTTCAATTAGGTTATCTGCATTATGCAACATATATATATATATATAAATGTATGTGTGTATGTATATATATAGAGAGAAAGTAACTGATAGTTTTTCTTCTGCTGCTATATATTCTTTTATTACTCCAAATATTAAGTGATTTGACATAAAACACTTTATATTTATGTTCTACCTGCCTACCTGGGAAAACAGTAAGAATAGCAGCTGAGTATAAACAAAGATCACGTTCATGTCTGATTAAAACAAATGTCATTAAAACTGATGAGAGTATTAATAAAAACCGAAAGCAAGTATCTTCCCCAGCTTTCATTTTAGGATAAAGAATTATTTCATAATAATGTGCTGTAAGAAAGAAAGGAGCATCAACTGAGGCTTGGCCCAGGGCCACAGATGCTATAGGAAAGACACCTGTGGTCCTGGGCCCCAGCCTCCGTGTCCAGGGACTCAATGCACAGGCACCAGCTTGCTGATCCTGCTGTTTCCCACAACATATAAAAGCCATGTATAGAAGCCACTTACCGAACCTGGTTCTCCAGGAAGTGCATATAGCGGTACAGCAGGGTGTAGGATGGAGAGAGGATACCCACAGACTTCATCCGTGCGCCACGCTCCAGCTCGCTCTCCACGGGCATGTTGGCGAAGCAGGCCAGGCCAAAGAAGGGCCCCTTTCGAAAATAGCTGAAATAGACCAAATATGTACTGTGGCTCCAGCTTAGGAAAAGGACATACTTTTTGCTTTTCTCCTTTGTAATGCAATCTTGGTGCGAACAGCTACGTTCAGAGCTCCAAATAACAAAGTTTGGCCATAAAGAAGTCATTCAGTCTCCCAGAGAGCAGTCAAGGCTCTAAGACGCTAGAACTTGGCATCCCAGAGTCAAGGGTTAGAGATAGCATGTGGTCTCTACAGGCGTGCCGCTCAAATGCTCACAGTCACAGACCCTGGTATCCTCTCTGGCACAACTAACGGCTTCCAGGGGAGAACCAGGACCAACGCTGACCTCCAGGCTCCTTTGGGACGCAGTCTGTTTGCTCAGAACAAACCCTGACGCTCTCAGTTCCTTGGCTTCTGACAGCTCCAGTAGGCCGACGCTTTACTTCCTCCCCTTTATACGCTTGGATCAGCCATGGTTCCAGTCCCATGCAGAGATTAAAGCTGCAAATTATCCTTAAGGCATATCCATTGGCTTCTCGCAAAATTCACAATGTGCCATTGGCACGGCACTAAAAACTGGCCCACTTAAAGCTAGTACTCCAAGTTTATCACACAGATGTCTTAGGTTAACCCACACTAAACTGAAACTCCTCTCTTACACTGAAACCAAAAACCTCCACGAGGGCCACATAATCAATCACGCAGTAATAGCAGAACCTCTACTGTAGGTGCTGTCGGCTTGGGAGCGCCAGGACCCGTTGCAAGCTTGAGAGCTAGAACCCTACTTGCTGGGAAACCGGATAAACACAGAATACACACATACACTGCCTGAAGACACCTCGTGATAACATGCTCTGGGGAGCGTGGGAGAGGAGGGGTCAAGCCGAGCAAGATGAGTTCAGAAGTACTCACATGAAATCAGACTGAACTTTATGGGACCCACTGGCCATAGACTTGAACTCGACACCTTCAAGGTCAATGTCTTGTGGTAAGCACCATTCTACCATATTTCCTGCAGAAACAGGGGGGTCAGGTTAAAACAAACAAAAATCACTCCGAAAAAGAGCACAGCACAGCACAGCACAGCACAGCCAGCGCACACTGCTTCTCGGAAATGCGCTGTTTGGTCAGAACCAGGAGGCTGATCTCATCCATGTCCTGATGAATTACACCAGGGAGCCAGGAGGGGGCAATGGAGGGACCCCCATCTTCCCCTTAAAGTCAGTGTCATTTGAGTGACTCCCCGTGGCTGTACCACTCCCCAATCTTCCTCTTATGGCTTCACTTCTCTAACTATAGGGAGATTTTACTTATTTAACTTTATGCTCCCATTTCTCCACCCTATATTCTTACCTTGATCTCTTGAGATATTGTTTTTAATCTTACGATCTATAGCCACTAATATCTGACCACAAGCCGAAAAACCCTCAATTCTCACTGACCACCTTGTGATGTTTGCTAATTCCTCAAAACGCCTCTCTTTCTCCCGATTTCCCTGATAAGATACAATTCTGGATCTTTTCCTACTTCTCTGAGCAGCGTACCATATACCACCTCCTTCTCATCTCTTCCCAGATGTGATCTTCAAGGATCAACTATCAGGTCTTCACTTCAGGATTTTAGGGCTCTGTCACTCATAACTAATTTCTGGGTTTCTACTAAGCTAGGTGTTGGAAACATGAAGAAGGCATAATCCCTGACCACAAAGAGATGAGAGTCTTTGTACTGAAGCCTAGTATTAAGTATAAATTACACAACACATTGTTTTCCCAAAGAGAGCATTCCTGTATAGGCAGCAAAGGAAGGTCAAGCGGCATTAAGAACATTACATCCGCATCAGAGCACCCCTGGAGAGCCCTCCATCCACATCCATCCTCTTACAGGTAACTACAGCTCTGAATCAGCTTAGCCCTTTTCAAATTTTATAAAAGCAACCAGTATGTCTTTTGCTCATTTTTTGTTCACCTATGGTGATAAGAATGATGTGTCCACATATCGCTTCTATCATTTGGGCGTGGCACTTTATCTACTAAACTATGAGGCCCAGTTAGGTTAGTGCTCATTGAAAGCTAGGACAGCTAGCACGACTGGAACAATTCTATTGCCGCCATGTGGAAAGTGCCTGCGCTGGCTTCTGAAGGCTCTTACCTGACCAGGCTGAACTACGTGGCTCGGACTCCCGCTCAACCTGTTTCCAGTTGACATTTGAAGGTGGATGTGATGGACACACTGGAAGGTTGGTGCTGGGACATCGAGCTGTCTACCTGCAGGGCTGCTCATCCTCACCTCCTAAGGTGGGAACAGCAGCCAGGCCTGCCGATGCTACAGATATCTGAGCTTGCAAGGTACGTATGTTTTCTATTCCACAATCAACATCAACTTCTATTTCTTTAAGATTTATTTGTTGTATGAGTGGTCTAACTGCATTAGATGCTTTATGCCACAATCTGGAATCAGGTCTCATTACAGATGGTTGTGAGCAACCATATGGTTGCTGGGAACCCAAGTCCTCTGGAAGGACAGTCAGTGATCTTAACTGCTGAGCCATCTCTCCAGTCCCAGACATCAACTTCTCTTATAGGATATTCACATCACCAACACTGGGGGGAACTGGCCAAGCATGGTGGCCCACGCCTTTTATCTTAGCACTTGGGAGGCAGAGGCAGGCAGATCTCTGAGTATAAGGTTAAATTCCAGGCCAGTCAGAGCTACAGAGTGAGAGCAATGACAGGCTGACCTAGGTCCCCATCCACTCCCATGAGTCCCATCTGCCACCTTCTTCCCAAGATCACTGTCCTCCTTCACATCCCTGTCATTAGACACTAAACTCCATGCAGACAGACTGGCAAATTCGCCCCAACAGTACATAAGATCTAGTCCCTGTGGCAATCCTTCTATACATGATGTAGCTGCTCTTTTTCTGTCTGAGTCTCGACTGACACAATTCCCACGCGCCCCTGTTGTTTCACTGAGGAACCTTTGGGAATCCCAAAGCTAATGTGAACACGGTTTCTCAAATAAAAATAAAGTATGGTGTGAAACACTTTTATGGCCAGATTTTTTAAGTTGAACAAAGACCACCATGTATTTTTTATTATTAATATTATAACCCTTCACTGAGCCTTTAGTGATATGACTCGCAAAAAGATCGATAGTGTCTAATGTTTTCCAAAATCACTGACAATACATCTGGGTTTTATTGCTGTTGTCTGTTTGGTAGGATTTTGATACAGGGACTCACACTCTAGCTTAAACTGACCAGGAACTCGCTGTATAGCCCAATTCTCTTCCTCAGTCCAAGGACTAGAATTACAGGCATGAATCAATATGCCTTGCAATAATTGCATTTTTATGGACCATTTTCAGGGACTAATTTTATTGAAAGTCCCTTCAGTGCTTTAAGGCATGCTGGTATAACAGGTACTGCAAGCTGCCCCTCCATATCCATTCTCAAACCCTGCTATTTTTAGCTCGGTACAAGGACTCCCAATGAAGACTGTTTCTCAGCCCTTCCTGCACGTAAGTGTGGGATACAGACAGAAGTGAGACGCATAGCTTCCAAAATGTGCCCGAGAGGGAAGGAACATGCTGCCCTTTCCTCTATCAAGCTCCCTAGCAAGGGATGCGGGTGATGTCGTGATATGAGGAACAACAAAGCCATAAACCGACATGAACCCAGGTCCCTGGGTGGCCCCATAGATCTGAGCTGATTCTTTAATCTTTGGCAAGCTAAGACATACGTGAAAAAGGAATGGATCCTATCTTGATTAGACCATAGCTATTGGATGCCTGGTATTCACGAGCAAGGCCATATTCGACTTAATACAGCTGCCCTAAAGAATAATGTCGCCATTCTTCAGCCTGGTTTTTCAAGGTCCTCTTCTCTGCAGCTCTGTGCCTGGCCAAAGCAAGGAAGGGAGGAGGACATCCTGTCTGCTGCATCCTTTACTTTTAGAGGAAGGCAAGCCCTTCTGGGTTAGGAGCAAGGTACATCAGAAGCAGCTAAGTGGATCATGGACACCGCTCTGGGCAGAGCTCACTTCTGCTGACATGCTCCTCGAAGGAAAGAAAAACAAGCTGCAATCGTATTGCTCCTCTAGACTAGTACGCCTTAGATGCCTGTCTCTCTGCTAATCTGTAGACTCTGAAAGGCCGGAGAGGAGGACTTCGGCTTGATTTTTTTTTTTTCACATCCCAACACAGCTCAGTGCCTAGGACAAGAGAGGAAGGGCAATAAAACCAAAACAAATGGAACAATACAGCTTTATTAGGAACAAGCAGGTCTTTTAAACAGCTAATTGATGAATCAGTGTTAATTACCCTGGGAATGGAAATGACATTGTGGTTATACAGGAAAACCGCCTTACTCTGAGGAAGCGCATTCTTAATTATTTAGAAGTGAGATATAAACATCACTGCAACTTATTTTCAAACAGTTCAGACTGGGGCGGGCGTAATATTTAAATCCACATGAAATCAATGCCATTTACAATGCCTGCTAAATCTGGGTCAGTGCTGATTAGGGAACAATTTGAACACAAAGAATTTCTTATTTTATATTACAGAGTCAATGCAATCCCAATTTTTAAAAAAGAGCCCAGCTAGTCACTTAATAAATAATGAGAAATTAATTCTAAACTTCTGGGCAGGTGAGATGGTCCGGTGGGTAAAGGTGCATGAACAGAACCTCTGAAACTAGGAACAAAAGCCAGGCTTACTTACCTGTTTCTGTCAGGTATCTTACAACAGAGGGAGAAGTAACTACTAACTCAGGGGCTGATGACAGACATCTTCAAATTATTTTTCACATGATTTCAGCCATGAGAAACACCAGACAATGCAGAAGACTCAAGCCACGGAGAAATGAGCAAGGCTCTTCCTTCTCCCACCTCTGTCTGGTGTGTGCTGGGAACCATCACCACCCACTAGTATTACAACTTTCCATCCGAGCTCAGGTAGCCCTTGTCTTGTTTTACAGTCCCCCTGCTCAGCCCTCCATATTTATGTATTTCCCACCCACCTCATATACTGGAGACTCTCCTACTATCCCTACGAGGTTCTTCCTCCTCCCTCCCCTTTCTCTGTGTCTCTGATGTTTCTGAGGGCTGTGCCCACCTCTCACTTTTCTCATGAAATTGATTTGCACGGCATGATATTTCCTAGCAGAGGTTTCTGGAACACATTATTTCATGTGATAGTGGAACCGGCTGTATAAGGGTGAAGCCAATATGACGAAAATGTCAACAGATGGAGACTCGACATGAAGGATACGCAAGTTCTTTCAGATTTTCCTGAGGCTTAACCAATCTGACTACCTATCAGGGAAACAAATGAAATGTATATATATATATATGAATTTCTACCATTTCATATATGTATATATATGTCTGTGTCTATCTTTCTATCTATTATCTATCTAACTATACAAAAAGGATTATCTACCTACCTACCTATACATAAAGGACTTTGCAAAACCACAATTAAGAGAAGGGACCATACCTAACTATTATGATTTGAGGTCATTTTTCTATTAAAAAAAAAGTATTCTGAATTAGAGACCAACTTCTACCTGGAATTTGTAGAAGTATAAAGAAAAATGATTTTACAAAAATGGAAATCCTTAAGGGAAAATATTTAAAGCCAGAAAAGCTTTACACAGAGTCCTCCCTACCTATTCCAGGCTCAGACTTTATATTGTGCTCTCAGTTTTGCCAAACATCCTCACTCTATCAACAAAAACATAGTCTGGCGGCGTGGAAGAATTCAGTGAGAGTGACCTTATAAAAGAGCGTCATCACCGACACAGGCCTTTCCCTTCCAACTTGGCTTTCCTTCCAGCTCTGTATCCTCCCAGCTGTGGGCCTATATCACAGGGACCTATAGGTCCTCCCTAGCCTTTCCCACAAAGACAGCTTAGGGGGAGGATTTCACACCGTCACCAAAGGAAGAAATGGGGTGGTCTGAACTGTGTACATTCAGCCAGTCTGGCTGTTCAGTAAATACTGGTGGGGC